TTCTGATCTGATAACAGTTAATGAGACTTAATAGACTCTTTGTTAATGTTAGCTGAACAGAAAGCTTCAGCAACGAAACGAGCCCTCGAACATTTGATCTGCACGAAGCCTCAGCGTTGTTGAAAAACAATATCATAAGTTCAACACCTCCCCGTAGAAAATCAAAGTGGAACTAGTGATGCCGCTGACGGCTGCGCTCAGTGACGGAACATAAGTTCAACTTCAATTTTATGAGGACAGCTGCAAGCACATTTGAACAGCTCGTCCAAAAACCCCTCCCGTGCAACTTGAATCGTTACATTCTCGTCCAATCCCTAATTTCCTCATATTTCTCTGGATGCGCCAATTTCTGCGATCCCTTCGCCCCTCTTTTTGCTCTCTTCTAGACTACCACTTTCAGAATCTTCTAAACTAGATACCCAAAAACTATGGTGAATTGTGCCTTTAATCGCCTTCGACATCCGGTGCTGGTGTTTACAACACTGGCAGCGGACAAGCGAAGCTAGTATTATACGTATTCGAAAACTCTTGCGAACAGGATCTCTTGAGATCTGAATGATCCTTGAGCGATTTCCATGAAACTCGTCCAGATAATCCATTTATGCTCATGAAATTGTTAAAATGCATTAGCCCTGTGGTGAATCGCACTAAAGGACCTGGAAGGAGTAGAGAAGAAAGCAAAAAAAAGATAGACCATGTAGTTGTTTCCCCCTGGAGGAACTATTATATCAGNGCTTTCGCAGTACCTAAGCCCTGAAAAGCGATGATCCGAGCTCTCTAAGTACTTATGCTTCACGAGTTCTGTACTTTCGTGGTGATTATTGTATCTGATCGGTTACCCATAATTTTCGGAAGAGCTTAGCAAATACAGGAATCTCGCTACCGGGACCGTTCACATTTTTGCATCGAGGCTTTGAGCGAACGAATCATCGGTTCACTCGTTAGTGCTTTGCTTGCATCCTCTGAAGGCTATAGAAGAAATGTTGCAATCCTCGATCCAATTTTTTTGATAAAGAATCGTGGTCGGAAGACCACTCAATTTGCATCTAATTCCAATGGCAGTTTAGTTTTGCCTTTTTGTAGAATCCCTAAAATCTTCTGTAGTTCTTAAGCCAATACTAAGTTCTACTCGGGATCTGTTAGTGAAAGCGTCGCCCTTCTCCAGTGTCAAGTAGAGATATTGGCTGATCGAATAGTTCACATTTCTTTGAGAAGTTAAGATTCTCGAGAAATAGTGGATTAGAACTTGAGAACGGACTCATTTTTTTCGATTATTCATTCTCTCTTCGAGTTATTTGAGACTTCCTATGTGTTTTTACTGCCTGTCAAGCAAATCAGTATATTGAGCAAAATTTAACTGTATATTTTCAAGGTTCATGGCTATCGAGCGGTGATTATTGGCTGGGATTTGAAAGCTCAAGCATCCAAAGATTTCATCGAAAGGGTTCATAAGGGTAATGAGGTGCGTTCAATTGCACGTTTATCGTATATTCGTTGTCCGAATCACTACTGGAGTTACACCGTGAATTTTGGACTATTTTAATGAAAAAGAGGTTCCACCAAAATCTGCACCACGATATGAATATGTGTACCTACACCTGCCATTGCCGTTCATGAGGTTTTACATTAATTGAACGATGCCAATAGTGAGAAACGTAGATCCCTCTTCACCAAAGCTCTGAATAAAGCGGTATTCAGTGTTGATCCCCTTTCTGCTTTCCACCTATTCATGGAGAACTTGGCCTGTCGCCACCATGCTTACAAATTTGGATGCTTTGGTCCAGGAAAACAAGAGCTAGGAAATTTCGGCCAACTGCACACCCACCCCGGCAAACTTCGTGTGCGACCCGCTCGCCATGAACAGAATCTGAATACTCGGGTTATGTGTGTCCCGATTCAGCTCGCGTATTTCTTCTCAGATTAAACTTATTTCGCGCACGCTTCCCTCCTCCTCCCCAACAATTAGGGGCCAACTTCAAACACCCACCATCAGTGTCGCGATTCTACCGCCAGTGTCTCCTTCTCGATTCCAATGCCCTAGGTCCAAGGAAACTCCTGTATCACCTGTCACCTGTCGTCCCGTTGATCATCGATTTCCTCGAGCGGGTGCCAGTAACTTCTCCATTCGTCCCTGCCGCGAGCTTGTGTGGTTCAGTGAAGGGACACGAGGCTAAGCATTCATTCGTTCAGAGCTTTCGTGAAGAAGTGTGACCATCGCGTTGGCGTTGGCGTCCTAGTATTCGCTTGACGTCCCGAAAGACCCATTGGCTGCTTTCATAGTCCGCCGGCCGACGTGCACGAGGCAGTGCTGGGGGGGAGGAGGGCGGCAGATGGTCGGTCAGCCCCTCGAAGGGCTGTAAAGAAGGAGAGACAAGATCAAAAACCATTTGTACGAGCCCCTGGTTGTCTGGTATTTGATCTTGTACTTCTTTGTTTTCAACCCCTCGACCGACCGTAGACCGTTGAAACTATTGTAGGTGAAAGATGAAAAAAGACTCTGACACATGCTTCATATGAAATACGTCTTTCCAATGAAACTCATTGCACTTAAAGTTTGCAACCCAGTTTTTTGCAGGCATGGACGAATAATCCCAACTACGCTGTGTTAATAGATACAAGAGATCGTTTGGTGCCACAACTCGGATACATTGTTCAAGAAAATATCGAATTACATCAAGGAAGGATTATCCATAACTTACTGAAGAACTACATGGAGAAATATGATGAAGCGAAGCAAAAGTTTGTCAAAAATTACTAGTTTAGCCGTATGTTTCACAAATAGCACGCCTGCCTTGGTCGTTTTCATTGTGGGTTTACTTTGGAACAGGGTTCATGTGTAAGTGCGATGGAGCACAGGCTAACAATAAGATTAGGAGCATCGGCTGCATTTCGCTCTGTTGCTTTGTTCACGAAAACTGGTATAGAAACACTAGTGTAGGCTTCAATCACTTTCCTGTCGGCCTAATCTCACACAAAAGTGAACAGGCTGTCTCAGCAAATGATTTCAAAAGCGTAATATGGTTCACACACTACATCAGTATCGCGACGAAAGGAAGGGTCAGACAAAGGTCTTCCCTTCACTCGATAGCGGTAATGCTGGCGCTGCTCATGCCTTTGGCGGCACAGTTCACGATTAAAATGGTTCCTACGACTTCCCCCTAGATTTGTCCAGCGGCCCCGAAGGGTAACACAAAGGACGCTATCGGGACGAAAAAGTCAATAGATAGGGCATAATATGAGCCCCATTACCGGATTCGTTGACGTCCACGCCCACCGATGACGTGACAGAAGAGTGTCAAGGCGATACAGGTTGCGGTATTCGCTCATGACCCACACGTTCATGATGCAGTCAGCTAGCTGATCGTGGGTGATGAGGTGATGTTTTGCTCTTATTCTGTTATTTTCCGTTATTCTTTTTGCTGCTGCGGTCAATTTTCTAGTATCTACCTCTGGAGGATGAAGAAGGTGGGTTATCTTTGCTGTTAATAGTATTCTTGTTAAAATATGCTTATGAGTGAATGAGTTTTAGAAGAGATCTTTGCTTACTGTAGTCAGCTATTCGCACCAGAGCCTACACGTACGCAATGACTCACACTGAATGGCACTGGACGTCCAAACACCCCTTCTACTTCATTTTTGTGGTCTTCTTCTTCCAGTCCATTTTTTAAAGATTTCTTCGAAGCTTTTTATCACTTTGACAACACCGATTCGTGTGTTTTCTTCGCCTCCATCGCACCATTCTCACTTTCTCTTTCATTTTTCGTCCTAATCTGGTTAGCCCAAAATTAGCGTGAACTGTTCCTTTAAAGTTTGCAACTGACCGCAAGATCGCTGAGCATTAGAGCAGCTTAACATGCATTCTCGTTTTAAACACATATGTATAACAATATTGCCCACAAGTATTTCAGGTACATTCCGAAACCATGGCTGAGAGCAATCTATCCAGACGACTAACCTAAATTATGTGGTGTATTTGCAAGAACGAATAGACTAACACATTGTAGTAATATTGCATGGTCAGCCTTTTGCATAACATAACCAAAACTTCGACTACTCTGCATCATGTAAATAAGATTTTCAAAATCGTTCGTATCAGCATGTGAAATGCCTCCAAGTGATCACCTATGTTTGTGTAGTCTACCGCAAGCCATTTTGATGGTCTGTCATGTATAATAGGTTGTGTGAATAGCAGAAGTCGCTTCTCTTTGGATATAAGTTACAGATAATGAGAAAATTTTTGTTCAAAGTACGGTAATAAACTAAACAGGTAATAAATTGGTTATTGATGGTGTTTGAAAAGACGATTCTTGGAAATATATTTTGCCGAATCGTATGACCAAGTATGAAAGCAAGGCCTAAGACGATTGGCTTCTTTCATAGTTCGGCGTCAAGCGTCATTCAATTTCGAGCGTCAAACGTCAAATGCCGATGCTCGAAAGTCTGCTCGTCATTTTCCAAGACAATGTAGAGCTATTTGATACTGAGTAAGAAGGAAAAACAAGGAACAGCAATATTAAATGGAAGGGAGCTGTAGAAACCTCCGGGACACCCATCACAATGTTAGTATATATAACAAGGAATGAACTCATTGAAACGTGTTATGCCGCAAGTTATTACCTAAGCTTTAGTAGAGAACGAGGACCAAAGTTTCTTTTTTTTTNTTTTTTTTTCTTTGAGCACGAGGGGATCATCCCGCCCACCCGTATGCACCCACCCTACCTAGGTTTGGTGAAAAAACTACATTCCTCTGGCTAAAGCGGCATAAAAGCGCACAGATGGTCGGTTCCCATCCTTCTCCTCTCTAATACAGTGCTAATATAACAAGGCGCAAGACTGAGTTCATTTCTTGATATACTAACCTTGTGATGGGTGCACCCACACCCAACTACATTTCACCATGGCGGATGAAACCACCGATACACATAATCGATATTCAAAGATTAACACAAAACACTATCCATTATTCATTATCCATTATCCGTTATCCATTATCTATTACCATTAACAGTACACGTTTGGGTATGTTTTTTGTAATGTAGCCTTCTGTACTAATTTGATGTAATGTAACTGTACCTTCTGAAATGTAATTTACCGTTTGCAAAAACTCTTTCCCACTGTTCTCCCGTTTTTATAACTTCTATTCCACGGACGGAAAGCTCAAGGACTCTAAGTATCCCAGTGTGAAATAAGAGTATACAGAAAACAACCACTCACAAGTTATCCGTTTGGATGTCCTGAGTGCAAGTGCGGTGAGTGCACGCAGAGAGATTGGCAATCGTTGCTCACGAACCCATAATTTTAAAGACACAGTTCATGATAAAAATGACTTTTAACTAGATATCCCCCTAGGATAAATCTGTAGCTCCTCTTATACCATACGTAACGCTGTAAGGTCGGAAAATAACCTAGACCGGCGTTATAAAGGTTCAAAGATTGTCCCGTGTGTATGCGCGGACGAGTTGCAACGATGTTGTAGAGATTGCAGCATTCACAGGGGAACCCATGTAGGAAGTTCAAACTACTTGTCATGATCCATAGCGGCATTGAAAGGCAATTCTGGACGTTTTGGCTTGGTGTAGTCAGCTCTTTGCGCATTTTCAACAATTGAACCTCTTCCAAAATATCCCCTCCATGTCATTTCCGTCATGGTAATCTCGTACAACCTCTATTTCCTCTATTTTTATGAAGCTTCAGTTTTCACGAAAATTGGAAATTTTCTTGCCTCCTCCACCGCCGATGCACTATTTCTAACCAATACTTCTGCTTTTCGACTTGAACAGAATGGCACAGAAAGTTTGTCGTGAATTGTGCCTTCATGTGAACTCGATAAACTTAGCGCCCACCAATTTCTTAACGAACCAATGTTTTGGCACGTTCGCCGCGCAGCAAGCCCAAAAGAAAAACAAGTCAAGATATCTTACTGGTTCAGATCCACTCTGCAATATCAAAAATCTCAATGCTTTCGCAATATCTATGAAACAATTGCGCTATTCTCGTGACTACTGTTTTTTTTTTCCAAGCTGACGTGATGGAGCACTCAAATTTCTTTTAAAGAATTTATAAGGCGAACGAAACTATACATACAGGATCAATCATTTTTTACTCTTGACTGCCTCCATTTGCCTCGTTAATGCATTCCTTTGGGCTGTGCCTCCCCAGACTGAGCGTATCACACCTGAATTCAAAATAATGAGTTAAAACGAGCTTTTGACTGAACCATTACAATGGGTATAGTGGTGTAATAATAATGTGATGTAGATCCTTGGTGGCTCTGAGGTAACTGCTATAACTGCTACATGACTATCAGCTACTCATAATTCGGTACTCATTGTAAGAGATGAAATT